TTTAATGTTAATAATTTATAAAACTCAAAATCTTTGATAGCAAAGTAGTTAAATAAGTAATGAAATAATGGGGAAATTATTAAACAAAGAATTAAATAATAAGGAAATAGTTAAATAAGTAATTTTATTACATAGCATGGAATTCTATATAGCTTTTAAGTAATTTATTGAGGTTATGGAGAAATATGGAAGAATGTTTTATACTACTTTGGATTCAGTGAAATAAAAGCCCACTGCAATGTGGTATGTACAGTGTGTGGAATCTCCTTGTACTATTAACAATGTGTAACTGAGGACAAAAGGATAGAGCCCCTTTCTAAAAGCAAAATCTTGAGAGCAGAAATGCCAGAGATTGCTTCCTCCTAGCCTCCTAACCCAAGACCTCTGATTGGTGGACTTGGCAAAGCTGTTCATTGTCTGGTGGACTCCCACCTACTTTGTTAGTTGGACCAAGTTAGAAGGGGTCCTTTTGTGGAATCCTGAACATAAGAGTAATGGGAGGCAGCAGGAATTCTACATTTAGCATTACACTAATACTTTGGATTACAGTTGACTTAGAGTTTAACAAAACAGATATTCCACTCACCCTGTAGTCAGTGATAAGCCCTGGAAATAGGAGAAAGAAAAAGAAACAGTTAGACACATTTGTTAATTAAATGCTTGTCGTTGTTGTTAGCAGCCATAGGGTCAACCTTTAACTCATGGCCACTCAACACACAACAAAACAAAATTCTTCCCAGTCCTGTACCACCGCCATGATCAGTTACAGATCAGACCATTTTGATCCATAGGATTTTCATTGGCTGATTTTCAGAGTAGATTGCCAGTCCTTTTTTCCTAGTCCATCTTAGTCTGGAAGTTCTGTGGAAACCTATTCAGCACCATAGCAACACACAAGCCTCCAGTGACAAAATGGTGGTAGCTGAGCATGAGGTACATTGGCTGGGAACCTAACCTGGATGTCCTCCATGGAAGGCAAGAGTTCTACCACTGAACTCAATTAAATTAAATACTTAATACCTCTCTTCTTCAAAGTAAATTTCTTATATTGTTTCCTGAGCCATGTGTAGCCTTCTCAGAAAACTGAGGCTCGATTTTCTCATATGTCACTCTATGTTGTGGCACTTCACAAGTCCCCTGAGAACATTATGCCCAAAACACCAATTGGAAATGCTAAATTATTAATGGATTCCCGTTAGTCTTGCCATGTGCATTACATAATAATTAAAATATGAGATTTCTTCTAGTGCCCACTAGTAAGTTAGCATTCAGATCATGTCAACAATTCATCATCCATACTTCATGCATGAGACTGAATTCGTGATTTTAAAAAGTATTAAAATGTAGAAAAGGAATCCAATTCTTTGCAGAAGTTTCATCTCTGCATTCTCAGATCTCATTCCAGTATTCTGCACAAAGAAGATAATCAGTGATCATCTCTTACATCACTTTCATTATTCTGGATTCAATAGATGAGTCATTTGGGGCAAGGAGAAAGGTAAGAATTATGGAAATGCACTACAATTCTGGTTTACTGATTGCTATAGAAGGCCATTACATGGGTTATAAGTCTGACCCTTTACTGCAGACCAGATGAGGCACACTGTGACTTGAAAGCATCTCCCACCTCCTGGGAAATGGTGGCTGTGGTGTGGCCATAAGCAGGCCTTCACTGTGTTTAGCTGTGATGAGCTGTCCATCTAAATGTAATCCTCTGTTCACCTTCACAGATTGCTCTTAATCCACTGTGCAAGTATGTCTATGTCGTATTTACAAGGAAAAGGTTGTCTTGGTTCCCTGACTTCCAGGAGTGACCAGGCATTTTCTCAGTTGCTGTTGTCATTGTTAGTTGAGGTCAAGTCAGCTCTGACTCATGGTAACCCCATGTACAACAGGACAAAACATGACTTGATCCTGCATCATATTCACAATCATTGGTATGACTGAGTCCATTGTTTCAGCCACTGTGTATTTGGAGTGACTTCCAGCATATAGTAGATAATATTCCATTGTGATCTATAAGTTGTCATTGGCTAATTTTTAGAAGTAGATCACCAGGCCTTTCTTCCTAGTCTATTTTAATCTGGAAGTTCTGCTAAAACCTGGGTGACCCTGCTGGTATTTGAAATATCAATGGCATAGCTTCCAGCATCACAGCAACATGTAAGCCACCAGAGTACAATAAACTGACAGATGAGTGGTAAATTTTTTCAATTTGAATCATAAAATATCAGAAATTGGAGAAAAAAATGCAAGTCCATCAGGCTCAACCTCCATATATCACATGTGATTCTGAGAGGGAAGCTCAAAGTTACATATCATGTGGCCTCTCCTGAGGGTTCATGTTGTTAAATAAATATAACACAGATGGCAGAGTTATCAGCAGTAATCTGACAGTAACTCACAGGTAACAATAGAAATAAAAATAACAACACCTAAAAAAAGTACTTGACAGGTAGTAGGTGCTCAATAAAAATTGATTAAATAACCAGATGACTGTTATGAGTGACATGAGTGAAGGAATGACCCTTATTTTTAGTTTATATAGCTGAGCCATCTAATATGGTAGCCACTAGCCAACTGTGGCTATTTAAATTTAATGAAAATGAAATAAAATTAATCACACTACCCACATTTCAAGTGCCCAATAGTCACAAACATAGAATATTTCATTCATTGCAGAAATTTCTATTAGACAGTGCAATTAGAGGTTTCAAGTAGAAGGTTTTGACACAGTAGCATCAATAACCAAATAATTTTATTAGTAAAAGATGGAGTTTGCATCTTAATGAATCTGCTACCTGAAGGACTGGTTGAAGGATTTGGTTCAATTTAGGAGCATCCTGGTACAATTATTCATTGTTAACATAAAGAATGATAAACTCCCCTTAGCCAACAGATTGCTGTGACAATGGTTTTACTTATAGTCTGGCTTAAGTAACTTCAGCTCTGGCTTGGGCCACGGCCCAGGTGAAAGGCCCAGAGTCCAGAGTTCAGAGCAACAGACCAGAGAAAATAGCTTTGTTAAATTTTATTGCATCAGAGAAGAGCAACAATGCCTTGAGGAGGCATTGGAGAAATGTCTTTTGGGTCTCTCCTACCAGGGTGCACTCCACTTCCCAGTCCGTAAAGTCACCAGGACTTGCATACTTCATTGAGTCAGTGGGAAGCCCAAAGCCAAATTGAAGGCATTCTACCAACTGTGCAGTTCCCTGCTGTGGCCTCTGGAGTAGCTATGGTCACCCTGCTGTCAAACTCATCAAAATCGCGGCTTGACAATTGTCTGTTAGTCCTATCCTATCACCAGTGCCAGGCTAACTGAATGAATGCAGCATGTATTTTGTATACCAATGTTACCAGTGGTTCCATCTTATTTTCTCTTCACTCTTCATTCCTGCCCAACTTTCTTTCTTTCTTTTCTTTGTGATACTGGTATAAGCTGATGCAAATTCTTTTTCAGGAAAACATCAGGGCAGTCATTATTGTAAAGACATTTCTTTATGTGTATGCAGTGCCTTGCCTATGCACCTCTTGGTCCTGTCCACACCATTTCCTGTTTCCCTTCCCTGAATACCAAGTTCTAGGTGCTTATGGAGTGGGCACCTCCATGCAGGGAGCCCATGGCATCATGATGAATCCAGCCCATGGCATCATGATGAACCCACCCCGTGGGGAAGGAAAGCTGAGCACTGCCTCTACTCTTTCCCAACCACCACTGGGCAAATGCTCCTCTCCTGCCTTCTAGATACTTTGAGTGTAGCTCTGAGGAAAAGAGAACCATCAATAGCCTATAAAAAGCAGAAACATGGATTTACCTGAATCCTGATGGCTGTGCTTCAAGTAAAGGGGGTCCATCTTAAAGGCTCCTGTTAAGGTGGATCTCTTTTTCACCCTGATTTAGAGAACAAATAATAGAGTTTAACAACAGAGTATCTTAGATTGGATGCTGCTGCTCTTTTGCCTATGAGTCCTGCTACCTTGCTTTCACTTGGTAAATGAAGGGCTTCCTTCTATCAAGGCTCATAATCAGTTATGCCTGCAGTCATGTCCTCTCTGTGTTCCCACAACACCCTGGCCTCACATCTCCCCAGTTGTGGTATCATTGCCAGCTCAAGGCAACCCTATGTGCAGCGGAGTAGAACATTTTCCATAGGATTTTCAATGGCTCATATTTGGAATAGATCTTCAGACCTTTCTCCTGAGGCACCTCTGAATGCATTTAACTGTTTGTACCACCTAGGGACTTCTGGTCTTCCTTTAGTACAGATCTGATCTGCTAGCTCAGAGAATCCAGAGGCAAAGATAGCATTATTCCTTTCTGTCCTCTCAGGGCCTGGCTCAGCTGGTGCCTGTTCTTGGTCATGACAGTAAGTGTGTGCTGAGTAAATAAATATATGGGTTAGCAAGTGAAAAAACAGAAACTGCCAAGAAGGCATGTGTTGTAGGCCCAATGCCACAGACCTGTCTTCAGAACTCCATCATTTTACACCTATTTGTCCCACAGATATTCAAATTGATAGTCTGAATAACTCAGGCCAAAACTCCCATTCAGACTAGGATTGGATGGGTCTAAGCTTTATGTCAGAAGGAAGAATGGGCAATCTACTTCCATAGTGCTACCACCTCGGAAACCTAAGGAGGGGTCGCTATGAGTAGGGTCAGACTCGATGGCACATAACAACAGCAACAAGCTTTATGATAATTGCCTTTCTGCTTCATTGGGCTTTGTGGACACCATCTCAAAATAATTTTGTGGTAAATAAATATCCTAGGGACAACCTAGAGAAGAGATGTCACTCTGACAGGAGTTTAGGTTTGAAAACAAATATAATATGAAAGACAAAACCCAGTGAGCATGAAATAAAGATACCAGGATGGGGTCTACCAATGAGGAGAGATGAAGACTAGATTTATTTATGACACATAATTGAGGTTTTTTTCTTTAAAGGGTTAAGACAATGACTATGTCAGTAATCAGTAATAAATTTTCTAGTGTGTATTCCTTCTTTGACCTATGGAAGAAAAATCTATTGCACCTAATGGTATGTGTGTATATATAGGAATTTTATTGCATCTCAGGAGAACATTTACCAAAAGAGCCACTGGGAAAATTTCCTCTGGATCTCTCCGTACCAGAGAACTTTGCTTCTTAGTCTTAAAAATTTGTGTGTGTACAGAAGAACAAATATTGTATTAGTCCGTTATTGTAAAAGTCAAGGAAAGGTTTATCCATGGAAGGAAATTTTCTTTGTTGGTTGCCAGGGGTGGAAAGGGAGTGGAAGGAGCACTATTAGATAGGTAGAGATAAGTATTGATTTGGGTGAAGAGAAGGACAATGTACCAAATGTGAGTGATCAACATGGTGGCATTGAGGAAGAGGAAGACAGAGGTCCACAGGAGGTACAGACAACAAAGATGAACTCTTTTGCATATACAGTCCTGCATCGTCAGTGAAAGCAAACATGGGTATATGGGTGGATAGATGGGTGGACAGGCTGAACTATTAGGTATGTCTATGAAGCAGGGAGTGGACCCAAGACCATGTATAGGGTTGGGAGACAATGATCCTATAAGTGTATTTATTTGCATGTCTGTAAGAATTCTCAGATGTATAGTAGAGCTGACAAGGGACAAGGTTGTAGTCACCTTTTGGTCACAGCCAACTATGCAGAGGGATTGAGTAATTGAACCTGTGGGCTCGGGTTCATAGTTACAGAGGGCATCAGCTCAATTGGCATAACATACTACTCAAAACATAGTTCTACCTCCTACTTTGGTGATTAGCAACTGGGACTTTAAAAGCTTGCAAGCAGCCATCTAGATGCAACAATGGGTCTCTCTTCATCCAGAGTAAAGAAGAATGAGGAAAACCAAAGATTCATGGAAAGAATTAGTCCTAGTGACTGGTACACCATGCAATCTGCAGCCTATACAACTATGAAACCAGAAAGACTAGATGGTGCCCAGATACCACTATTAACCACTAGAGGTGGATCTATGTAGGAGATCCTGGATAGAGAAGGAGAACAATGTGGAACAAACCTCAAAGACACCTGGAAAGAAAAAGGGGTGTGGGAACCAAGTTTGCTTGTCTGATAGAGCCTGGTGGAACCACTGAGACTATGGCCCCTAGCTGCCCTTCAGGTCTGGAACTGAACCCACACCTGTGGCTTCCAGCCAAACAAAATACAGGCGTATGAGTTGAACATTTACCTGAGGTAGATACACTCCATGGAGAGAACAATCATCGGAGAAAAAGGGCTGTTTATGCACAAGGAGACAGCTCAGGGAGTAGGAGTGCATGGAGGGATCGACACAAGGAAGAGGTAACTATTGGGAGGAAGTGGGAAGGGAGCTGTTGCATTGTGGTAAATTGGAGTCAACATCATGAGACAAAGTGTATGTGAACTGCTGTAAGGAAAGTGAATTTGCTCTGTAAATTTTCACCCAAATCACAATTAAAAAAAATAATAATTGTGTGTATATACATATATGAGGAGCTCTGGTAGCATAGTGCCTAAAGGCACCTGACTGCTAACCAGAAGGCTGGTGGTTCAAACCCACCAGCCACTCCTTGGAGGGAAGCTTGGACAATCTACTTCTGTAATGATACCACCTCAGAAACCCAAGGAGGGGTTGCTATGAGTCAGGTCTGACTCAACGGCACATAACAACAACAACATGTGCATATATATTTACAGTGTATGTCTGATCAACTGCTAGTTGAAAGATTGATGGTTTGAACCTTCCTTGAGGCACCTCAGAAGACAGGCCTGGTTTCAAAAAGTTGCAGCCTTAGAAACTCTGTGTCCCTGGGTGGGGCAATGATTATCACTCTGGGTTGCTAGCCAAAAGGTTGGAGGTTCATGTCCACCTAAAAAGGCCTGGCAATTTACTGATGAAAATAAGCTATTCAAAACCCTATGGAGAGCTCACATCAGTTTTCTTTTTTTTTTTAATTTTATTTGGATTTGGGTGAAGATTTACAGAGTAAATTCACTTTTCATACAGCAGTTCACATATACTTTGTCTCATGTCATTGA